TTGGTGTGCAGAGGCCTTAAGGGTCTGGTGGTGACCCTGAGATGGATTAGTCAAATAAACACAACAAAACAACATTAAAAATAAAAATAATGAATACAAATATACATACATATGGATGAAATGTAAAGTCCAAATTCATACCAATAATCATAAAAGGAAACAATAATCCTGTTGGCCACTCTGGAGTTCCCCGATCCCGCTTCACTGCCGGTGGCCAGGGCACACATACTGCCAGATTTCCTCCTGACCTGGTTATTATTATTACGATTATTATTATTATTATTAATAGTAATCGTAGTAGCAGCACTGGTGGTGGCAAAGGTAGGATTAGTATTAGTATAGAGCAGATAGTAGTATACATCACAAAAGCATTAGTTAATGTTTTTTAAATATTTTTTCCTTCTTCATCTCCTGTGCCTTTCCTGAGCATCCCTCCCACCATTTTCACCCATCCACCCTACAGACTTCATCCCACACGCATACACCAACATCATTGTTCTTAACAAAGCAAGTAACACTTGTATTGAACAGTTTTTGTCTTTGTCCGGTTGTCCTGCTTGTATTTTGTCTTTTGTCTTGCAATAAAATGTTTTTTTAATGGAAAGTTTAGGGGACACATGGTTTTCATGCTGGAAGATAAAATATTCACATAATTTAAGAAAACAGTCAGCTAGATAAATAATTAAAGAACTATTTTTTTCCAGGGGAGGGGGGGTGGGACTTGATGACTCTAGTATTTCTAAAATCCTGACTATGGCCCCAACCTAAAGGGTCAACTAAAAACAAAATGGCTCAACATGAACAAAATGTCAGATGCTCAGACTTGACGCAGATCCTGACTTTGAGTCCCTAGTTTGGGTTAAACTCCAAAAGCTCTGGCTTCTACGAACCTATGTGTTCATTTATATCACAAATCTGTCCCAAAGCATCTGTCATACACTTGTACTTCTACTTTGTGGTTTAAAAGCATTTTGGTCCCAGTGGTTCCAGTCTACCCCATCAGTCACCTACTTGGAGCCCCTTCCCATGGTGGACCTTGGTAAGTGCCTTGTGCTCCAGGCTCTGTTTGAGCACCGGGATCCAGACCAGGCCGGTGACCAGGAACATAAGACCCACAGAGAGGAACAGCGGCCCCAGCAGGTAGGGCACATTGCCCACCCAGGTGAAGTAGAGCAGGGACAGGGTGGTGCCTGATCCAAACAGCAGCATTCCGACACCGATGACCAGGATGGGTTTAAAGAAGAGGAGCCAACAGGATGGAGCCTGACCGCTCTGACAGCGAGGTAATTCCTCATCCTGGAGAGGGTTGAGAGGTGTGGAGGCTTTGGTGTCCTCCCCATCCTGGGAGGAAGGGTCCATGGTTGATATGTTGGAGAGCATGGCCACTCTGGAGGAAACCACCCCACAGAGAACACAACAGGTCAGCATACAACAGTTGTCACATTATTCTACATTTCTCTATTGTCCAAATGCAATGAAAAGACCAATACCAACAAATCTGTTTCTCAGTACTTTCTGATGTCCCTACTGTCTGTGGCTCTCAGCTCAAAGCCCACTGGTTCTAACTGGAGACGTAAATCTTAAACACTTAATATAAGTTTAATTTTAGTTCAAATTTGATCAGTCAACTTTGGCTCATGCTGACATATTATAATAACAACCACTGGATAAAGAGCCATTACATTTTGTACACACATTTATGACCCCCTCAGGCTGAATTGTAATCACACTGTGATCTTCTGACTTCTTCATCTAGCGCCACCATCAGGCCAATTATTATTTGTATTATTTATCCTGTACTTAGTTTTGCTTTATGACCAAATACCTACAAAACTAATTAACATCTAATTAAAATCAGCAGTTCATTTTTTTTTTAGTGCTACATTTAGCTAATATTAGCAAAACACTAAACTAACTACACTAATCAAGCTAAACAGCTAGCTAATCTACATTAATCATTGCTTGTGGATAGATAAGCCACATTAATCGTTAGTCAGTTAGCTAGCTAGTTAGCTTGTGTTTTGCTGCAGAACAAAATACTTTTGATATAGAGCTACAGAGGGATAAATGTAAATTAGCTACACTGGATAACTAATCTACATTAATCGTTAGTCAGTTAGCTAGCTATATCTGATAGTGTTTTCTAGTGTTGTAATAACATTAGAGATGTGACATGCTGTAGTTACATGCCACTTTTATCTTTTAAAGGTCCAGTGTGTAACATTTAGGAGGATCTGTTGTCAGAAATGGAATATAATATTCATAGGTATGTTTTCATTAGTGTATAATCACCTGAATATAGGAATCATTGTGTTTT